AACTCAGGACCTTGCACTTGCCAGGCAGGTGCTTGTGCTACTGAGCTACATCCCCGACACTAAAAAAAAGGATTTTGAAGTTCCAAAGGACTTTAGAAATTTGAGATCATTCAATCCAGCCACATGATAAAATTGAGCTGCAAAGGGGTCCACTGGCCTGCCGAAAGCCATGCTGCCCGATAAGGTCCTAGCCAGAGATAGCAAGTAGAGGTTTTTACTGTCTAGCTCCTTCCACTGTGTCATAAGCTTTCTCTTCTAAACATGTGCATTCCATCAAGGAGGTACTCCTTTTCATACATCCTCTTAGCAAATTCTAACATTACTGTTGCTCTGTGCTGAAATTAGTTGTACACCTCTGGCATTCCGATGCTGCTCATGCATTCCACTATAATGTGCACATAGCTGGAGATCAGTGAGATGATAAGAGCAAACATTTATGGAGCAACTCTTGTACATCAGGCAGGCTAAGCACTTTTACATACATCTCTAGGCTACCCAAAATATCACAGAGTGAGTAGGTGGTGGTACCTCCATCTCTAAATGAAGCAGCTTGCCAGATTACAAAACTGCCCAAGACTCCCTGTTTTGAAGCCTGTGCTCTGAAACTGGGCTTTAAGAATTTCATCAGAGCAGGGCATGGTGGCACATGTCCGTAATCCCAGCACTCAGAAGGCTGCAGCAGGAGGACAACAGTGAGGCCAGCTTGGGCTACATAGTGAGTTCAAGGCCAGCCTAGACTACATCGTGAGACCCTTTCTCAAAAAATAAAAGAATAAAAACAACAAAAAAGAGTTTCATCAGGAAATGAACCCTCTGGAGGTGCTAATATGCAATAGATTCATTAATGTAAAACTTTTTAATTGTTTAATGGGTTTCCCCCCCCAATAGAACTGGGGCTTAAATCTAGAGTCTTCCACATGCAAGGCAAGTACTCTACTCTAAGCTATACTGCTGGCCCATTTAATGGTCACTTTACCAAAATGTAGCCTGTGGCTTTATAACTGAACCAAGACTGGAGTTGAGTTCTTGCTTATTGATTGATTGACTGATTGATTGTCTTTTTGACAAAGGGACTTGCTGCGTAGTTCAGTCTGGCCTTGAACTCACTTTGTAGCTCAGGCTGGCCTCAAACTCCGTGATCCTCCTGCCTCAGTCTCCTGAGTGCTGGGATGACAGGCATGCGCCATCACGCCCAGCTAGTTCTTGCTATTTTAAAACCAACCTTTATTTCTTTGGTTCTGGAATGAATTTAAAAGCCAAATATAAACTGGCAAGCTATGCATCTGACAACTAGTTATAGGTAAGTAAAAAGGTGTATTTAAAAATTAATTTACAAAAAAAATTTAAAAAAATAAAAATTAATTTACAAACTAGTATGCAGTGCCAAAGACTGGAGATATGAAGTAATTAACAAAAACCCTCTAAATTGTGGTTGATAGATATCCTAAAATAGGCAAAGGGAGTCTTTTTCCTCATTTTTTTTTTTTTTCCGGTACCGGGAATTGAACTCACCACCTTGCGCCTGCCAGGCAGGCGCTCTGCCGCTGAACTAAATCCCCAGCCCCCCTCATCATATTTTCATGTAAATCCTTCACTATTCCATCTGGATAGCCCTTAACTTCATGAACTGTAGAAATAAAACGGACCCTGAAAATTTCAGCTTATGAACTAGGGAATTTTTTTTTCAGGTTGGGTATTGCATACTTCATGCCTCTAACACAAAGATAAAGCCATTCTGGAACACCGATGGCGCAAAAATAACACTTTACATACAGCGTGTCTCACACAGCGCGCTTCAGCCAGCCCGAGCTTCGCTTCCGGCCCTCTCGGAGCCCTCGGTGTGTGAGCGTTTGCTCCGAGCAGAGGACGCAGCAGTGACACGGCACCGAGACCGGATCACGTTTGGGGAGGCAGCATTCAAAACGAACTTCAGGGGCTGGGGATTTAGCTCAGCGGCAAAGCGCCTGCCTGGCAGGCTCAAGGTCGTGAGTTCGGTTCCCGGTACCGGAGAAAAACCAAAAAACCAAAAAAAAAAACAAAAACAAAAAAACAGACCGAACTTCGTGCAGAGACAGCTGCTCCCGAAGCTCACTGGCACCTGTACCAGGCTCCCGCAGTCAAGCAGATCCCCCCAGAAAGAAGCTGGCTGAGCGGGGGAGAACGCAGCCCGCAGGCAGAACGCTTCGCCGAATCTTAGACTGCGTGAAACGACGAGACGCGCCCTTCTCCGCCAGGCAGCTTCACCGCCTCGGGAAGGCTTCCAGGGAGTCCCTGTTGCCCTTTCCCCGCAGCACGCCAGTCTCAGGAGCACCACCTCCCCGCTTCCCCGCGCGGCGAAGGGCCACCGCCCCCGGCAGAGGGCACCGACTCCCGCACGCCGGGGCACCCGCGGCTCCCCCAGGCGGCAGCCTCTCCCTCTGGCTCGGCGCCCCCCCTGGGCAGGACCGCAGGATAAAGTGCTCGAAAAGGAAACTGCCGGGGGCGTGGAGCAGAATCTAGCTGCAAGCTACATGCAAAATTATAACGGCCGCGAACCCAAAACCAGGTTTTCCAAAAAGGGCAAAGAAGGACAAAGCTCCCCACCACCTCCGCTCCCGGCCAGGTCAGGCGAGGCGGACGGAGATGCCCGCAGCCCACGACCCGCGGCCGAGCCCCGGCGTGGCGGGCGATTCCCGCCCAGATCAGCGGGCTGGACGCCGCCCGGACCCCACCCGCAGCCTCCCCTGCTCTCACTTACCGAGAGCCGCCGGGCCCCCGGCCGACCCTGTCCGCGAGGTCGGGGCGCCCGCTCCGCACCGCTCGGGGCAGCGG